CATAGCCCAAAGAAAAAGGGACTTGAGGCGATGAAAAAGTAACTATGGAAGTACTGTTGTACTTCATGAATACACTTACATTACATTGTATCACTTTAAATTGAAACACACCCACCTATTAAATATCTTAAAACATCATCATATTATAAAAATTATACGTCCCATAATTTAGTAATTTTTTGCTATTTGATAATACAAAAATTAAAATTTTAAAAACTCATATAAATGTAGACCTGTAAAACGGCATACGAAGTAAAACTATCTAACCCCCTCCCTGAAGAAAGCACATTTTAACAAAGCAGAAAAGAACGAACTCCTGATATGTAATTATCTTTAGCTTTTTCCCCCTAGAAAATGAAAGAACAAGTAGGCCTACAAGGTCATTATTTCCTGAAAGGTACAATTAGGAAGTAAACTCTACCAGGTCCATTAGCATACAGAAGGTTTATCTTCAGGTAAAATTGACAAGTGCCAATCTTTAGAGATAATACTGACAAGTGCCAATCTTCAGAGACAAAATTGACAAGTACCACTTTGGAGAGATAGACATATATTTCAAAAGTTCCATTAGAACAGCACGAAGGAGAATGACAATTTATGCAGTCACAGCGGACAAACCATAAATTTTTTTCTGAGACAGAACGAAAAATCATACACTTAAAAGAAACTTTGAGGAGAATCCCCTCTTCCCTCCATCCCATTGCAAACAACATTACTTTGTCAAAAACTGAAGGGTACAAAATACAAACTACACAAAGATGTGGAACCTATCTTACCGTTGACAGATGGGCGGCTGGCTTTCTTCGCAGCATCCGCAGCATCAAGTTCTATATTAATATCTGTATCAGAAGCCCGTGCATTTTCCCCTTCCATAGGAGCCCCCTCGGCACCAGATGTAGCCATTTCAACTTGAGGTCAGGTTTTTCAATAATCCTGGTCAGATGGTGCTGATGACAAACAACGAATTCAAAAGAATATTTTAATATAAGATAAGATTTATCTAGCAACATATTATAAGATAAGATTTAATTTTAAAAATTATTTATCTCCAAATATATAGAAATTTGCTGCTATCAAATGGTAAATATACACAGAATGCTATCACACTATTCAACACAGACAACACACACACAGATACTCTCTCTCTCACTCTCTCTAGATCACACACACACACACACGCACACACACGTACACACAAACACACACACACACACACTGTATTTAAAATCAGATACAAACACTAGAGTGATTATATGACTATTGACTATTTTCGTAATAAGAAAGATGATCATCTTTTCCTTTTTCCATTCAACTAACACTTTGGGATTTACAAAAAAAACCCACTCTATTACAACACCATTGCATCCAATTCATAATGTTCATGTTAACATACATCTTCGAACCAAGAGACAGCATGGAACTACAACATTTAATTCTTACTTTAATGCAGTTTCATTTATAAATATAATATATATAAAAATACTATTTCAAACTAAAGCATCATATATATCTTTATATTTAAAGATTTTTTATTATAAATGCATCATGTTGCAAAAAACCTAATGCCTATTCTGTGGAGTACAAACTTGAGTAATAGAGCAGACGGTTGACGAAAAAAAAAAGAATGGGACTTGAAAAGGAAATTGACAATAAAAAATTCTTATTTTCCTCTTTCTCATAAATTCAAAAATGGATTTTCACAAAAAGAGACCAATGAAAGAGATTGCTACAGTTCAAACCCTCTATACTGGTTGGTTGTTATAATTGTTATGAGACATGATCACTGAGGCAACTAATGTGAACATTTATTTAAAAAACCTAAAAAACAGAGGGTCCCTTAATGAGGTCATGTTTCCATAATCCTGGATCCCCTCATGAATTAAATTGTGTGAGACACAAAATCAATCAAATTAGACCGGGAAGCCTGGAAGGTAACATTAAAATTTCCAGAATTAGCAAATTTGGGGAAAAACCAGAGTCTGGGAGAGTCCATCTCTTGGGTGATCAACATTAATTATTTAATTTTAAATTTCAAAACACACTCAAAACTTTAGTTTATAACATGAAAAGTACAAAATATGTAACACATATTAGTGTAACAGCTGGCACGCACATGCCCAGCAAAGATTCCAAGGCAAAAAGGTAACAGCAGATACAAGTCAAAAGAAGAAACCATGAAAACTTTTGTGTGAAAAAATGCTACAGGTCTGTAATTTTCAAATGAGGAGCACTTTGAGTTCTTACTTTTTTTTTAAATAAAATTTTTGGAATTTTTACAACTCCTATATTTTTACAAAATGCATTTTGAAATCACCTGAATTATAGATCTAGATAGAGTGCTTGAATTTTTTAATGAATAATTTTTTAAATTTTGATATTTTCGAGCATTGGAGGGTTCTAAATTGCTACTTCAATGAATATGATAGTACAAAAGCTCTGCCTACCTAGAAAAGTCTATTATAATGAATGAATGACAATACACTGGGTGATTAGACAATTGCGTGGTCATCTTGGACAGGTGTCTGAGGTTTCCGGTTGATGAAATATAGCGGTCTCAGCTGCATAATAATATCAGCTGTCACCTCGGGAAGTGCCATTATAGTAGTAGTCAAATAAAAGCAAAGGGATTGGGATGTGGTCATTTGTGCAGGCCACCATTATGGCAGTGTCGACAGCATATAAATATATTTTTTAAATTTTTATCATAATTTCAATATATAAGGTTTTTTGTGTTTGCTGGGAGTCTCAGAGAGGGGCTCTCGTGATTTAGTTGTTACGGTTTTCGCCTCTCATTCAATAGGTCCCGGATTTGAAGCCTGACAGCGACAGAAAACGTTCTTCTCTAAAATTTTCTGAGATTCCCCTTTCAGAGACCTCATTTCCGGCTCTCTATCAAGCTTTAAAATCTACATTTCGCTGAGGGAAGTTCTGATGGTCAAATGGACAGCGCGTCTGCATTTGAAGTCATACAATTTTTTTAATGAGCGTGGGATCGAACCCCGGTCCTGGAAGATTGGGTTTTTTTCCGCTTCTCCTCCCAACTGATCAACAGTTGTTCCCATAAATTATAACTTGTTGCTTTGTAGTTTTGGTATACCGCAGTTTTTTATGCATGCATGTAGTGATGAAGCATGCAGGAAGGGGGGGGGGGGGTTAACCCTCTGGAGTCTTTATATTTACGGCAGTTTTCGAGCGGTTTATATAGAGATCTAAATTGTCTTTGCGTTTACCGTGTTTCAATTTCAGGCATCAGAGTTCTTGCTGTTCTGAGCATCAACGATCTTTAAGCGATCTTCCATCATGTCCAAGTACTAGATTCTAGATCTAGGTATTCCGAAATGTGCTTACATGCGGTACTTCCACGGCCTTCTTAAAATAGTCTGTGGGTATCCCAGGAAGTGATAACATCACATTACTAAAATTAGATCTAGATCTAGATCTAGCAGCCAATCAGGAAGATGCGTCGTTCTACATTATTTAATCGCATGTTACGGCGTCACGGGCCACTCCATTCGCAAATTGTAAACCAATCTCGAGAACGTTTCGAGCGTTCGGAGATCTAGATTCTAAGATCTAATCTAGATCTAGATCTAGATATCTAGAATCTAGAGCTGGCCTTGAAATTTCAGAGACAGTCCAACAACAAAAAATTTTAAGAAAAAGAGAAAAGAATATTACAACTCCTTGATTTCCTAAATGGAAATCAGAATATCAACCATTCACTCTAAGTAAGCTTTAGTCCGAGGCCTAGAAATGATCTATCTGTATAGTACTGTATACTTGAGAAACTCTCTCTGCTATTATGCCAATTACGGCAAGTATTTTTTGGCAAGAAAGAAGGATCTAGATCTAGATCTAGATTTAGATATAGATTCTATATCTAGAATCTAATATATCTAGATCTAGTCTAGAAATATAGATCTAGAATAGATCTAACCAGGAAGGATTATTAGGCTTACTTCATGTCATGGACTCGCAAGAGAGAATTGAAAATTCTCTTCAAATCCAGATTCATTGCATTGCAGCTCGGTGATTGCTGAACTGAACTAAATCAGCTCCAAACTCCAGTCCAGAATAATTATCAAATTGACTCGAGTAGGCCTCTGCCTCTATGTCAAACCACTGTGTTGAGTTCGATGACAGACTTTCCGGGAAAATCAGGATATTCTAGATCTTGATTTTTCCCCCTTTTCCCGAAAACACACACAGTATTTACAAGACTGGAAAAAAACCCAGAAGAGAAATCGTCCGTGAATTGGTATCCTTCCAAATCCTTGGACTTCGCTGAAGTCTGAAGCTAGCAGTCGAACACAATTTTTCTAGCACTGTGTGTACACAACACAGTAGAGTAATAATAGCCTAGGCTACTGAAATCAAGAGTTGCCGTTATCGATCATGTTTCGGTGGCGCTAGTTGTCTAAGGGTGGCAAAGACATTTCGTAAAGTCTAGCCTAGACTAAACTGCGTTAGCCCATTCGTTGAGCGAAACAGGAAGTACCGCCGATTCCACGGCAGGCAAGAAAGGGAAACTTAATTTTTTCGGTTATTTTCGCTTTCCGAAGCTGTCACGATCTATTCTGTTCAGACACTGCAAAAGAAAATGAACGATACGAAAAAAAAGTTGTTGTTTTTTAATGGAAAGTAATGGGAACGTAAGTCTTGCGTTTGAGTGCACAAGTGCTCATTGTGTATCTACCTTTGTATTTGAGCTTTCTTTTTTTTTTTTTAAATCTGAAACTGACACCAGTGCTCATTGGTTCTCCATTCACTTCTCTGCTCGGAGGCTCTGAAAAATCCTACATCATCCTGGTGTTTCCCCGTCACACATCTGTCCAGTTTTCTGAATGTTATAAGTTTTTCTGGGTCTGCCTGCATTATTTGCTTCAGAGGTTAAGAAGCTCAAAGCATTATGCCGAGTGAAGTGCCCTAGAAATCGCATAAATTGTGGCTTCCTAATATTGTTCTAATTAGTTTCTTTGAAAGTAGCCTCGGCTAGCATGGGGTTCCGCTTGCAGCAACGGTATTGTATCTTTCTTTAATTCTTGCTTCGTTTTTTCTTTCTTTCTTTCTTTCTTTCTTTCTTTCTTTCTTTCTTTCTTTCTTTCTTTCGAGAGAGAGAGAGAGAGAGAGAGAGAGAGAGAGAGAGAGAGAGAGAGAGAAGCAGTGAGAGACAGACAGAGAGAGACGTTTGCTCACACAAAAAGGTGCTAGCCTACTGGTTGCGCGACAATTAGATCATGTACTAGAAATCTATTACTCTTGTCTTGATTGTAACCAACATATAATTGTTTCCCTTTTTGTTCCAATTAGCCAATATGCACAGGACATTTATAAGATGCACACAAATAGAATACAAGTACTGCCGTCTAATGTATCGAAACGGTTGGCCTATTTATATAGAGACAAAGTTGAAAGTCTACTACAATGATATATGGTCCTCCTAACCCTGTTGTACTGTGCTGAGACCTGGATGTACGGTGTACCAAAGCCATGCCGGGAAACTAAAATAATTTCCTCAATGAATATCTCAGGAGAGTTCTTATTGACATCAAATGATGGGATAGAATACCAGACATCGACTCTCTAAAAGGGTGCCAAGAGTCTGTCCTATAGGCTAAAAAAGGACTTAAGTTGGCTGAACTGGCTAAGTCGTAAGAATGCCTGATTTCAGAATCCCAAAAGGCAATATTTTATTCTGAACTGTCCCACGGGAAGCATAAAGTTGATGCATCAAAAACAGAAACGCTGCATATACATCCTGGAAATGTCTCTGCAGAAGGTCAACACAAATCTTTCAACACTGACAGATCGAGTTGAAGAGCAGCAGGCAGTCATTGTAGGTGGTAAGTCATTTGAGGCTTAAAGAATAAGAAATTCTGAAACCAAGAGAGAAGTCGAAGTCTGCAAGCTGCACACCCTCAAGTGGAAATGGGGCTTTTGAATGCTCATAATGTGACAAAGTATTCTCTTCCAGAAATGGTCTCAATTGGCCTGATATGCAGAAGCCACTAACTCATCTCAACCTGTAATAATTCTATTTCGCTTTTGATACTATACACTCCACCTCGGCTGCATTGGTCATCATCTGACATAGACGGACACATTTTTATAATTACGTTAAAATACAATAAATCAATATTAAATTGTACAGCTCGCCATACATCAATTTCGTCATTGCACGTTCCTTCAGGCTTGTATCAATGGCGTTACTACTTTTAACCAGCTTATGCATTCGAGTTGTGCGCTGATTGGTAGAAACCCTATATTGGTCTACCACTGGGTAAGGAGAACCTGGCAAGTTGTGTTTATAAAAGATGACGTCCGAAAGGTTCGAATAATTAGCAAAACAAACTAAGGCCAAGAAAAGAAAGGAGAAAGTATGAAGGGTTTGTGAATAATTTTAACCGATATTTAGGAATTCAATAATTACTCTCTTTCAGTATGTTTTATCAGAATATGTATCTACCAATGGTTTTATCTCAATTAGTTTAACAATAGTTTTTGTTTTTGTTTTTTTTCAAATGTAGGCACAGGAAAGTTTATATATTTTAGTGTCTCTGGCAAAATTTAAAAAGTCACTGTCACACTGGTAAGGAGTAAAGATTAACGAAACCCGAAACTCAAAATTGGATCTCAGACTGATGCCTCTATCTAAACAAAACCTGATTGTCAACAGCGTTCTCACCACAGAGGATTTACATTGATGAGATAGCACTTTTTTGCTCTGAACATCGCTGGTAACTTACTCTTAACTAATACCACAACCAGGTCTAGATCTAGATTACAAGATGACGAATATCATCATTTATCATGATCATGATTATGATGATAAAATTCAATGGAGGCATGGAAGATTGGTCCAGTCCATGGCCATGCCACATGCAGAGCTGGTAGTAACGGAGTACAAGTACTCCGGTACTTGTACTTACGTTACAATTTTCGGTACTTTTACTGTACTCCGGTACATTTTGAGAATCAGTACTTTTACTGTACTCCGATACTTTTTATAAAAGTACTTTTGAGTACTTTTCAAGTACATTTTGAGTACTTTTGAAGCTTAATGAAAGAATAAGTGCCGACATTTCCGATCATAATTTACAGAACAAACACCCGGGCGGGCACAGCCGATCAACCAAGAGTTAAAAGTTGAGATTAAAGAACTGCCCGTCGCGTCAAAGATCAGCCACTCTTGTGAAAGTGATCACATGTGCTGTAAAACTCCATGAAACGGTACAATGATCCCCAGACGGGATCACACCGAGGTGTGAACAGACCGATGGGCGTTTCTTTTCCCCAAACATCGCACTCGCATCTGAGCTCGCCACCTGAACTTTCATCCCTCGCTGGGTGGGTTGGGCCTACAAGTTCGCCCCAGGCAGGATCACATCGAACTGTGAACTCTTCCCTGACCATTGAAGTTGAAGGCAGTTTTTCTCTATTCCCGAAACTGCGAGACAGCCTGAATTTTAATTGGTGTGGTCACAGCGTAATGGTACGTAACGACAAAGGCGGGGGGACTCAATCAGAGATGGAAGGCTACAATTTTTGGACAGGTAAAGGGGAGGGGCAACTGGATAAACGTAGATAAAGATCTCGAGACGATATGCTAATGAGTGTACGGTATAATATTATGATTTATGGCTTGCCTCATGCCACTGTGATTGGTCATCAAGGATGACCACTCTTTGCTCGCCATATGTCATAAACCTACCCTGGGGTCACGTCAGTTCTTGGGTCACTGTAGATTCTTCCTTAGCTTCGTCGGGCTAAGATCCCATATTTCCCTTGCTCCCGAGCACTAGGATCTTAGGCGGAGACTACTGTAGTAGAGAATTTTTGGTTACACTACACTTACTAGACTCTAGGAAATTACATGTAGGCCTATTTTGGTTTGCCGTGGGCGCCGTGGACTACACAGTGTGACCAAACTCTGTCTTACCACTATATTATAATCAGTTGAAACTGAAATCGAGTTCTCAATGTATATCAATCTAACAATTTTTTAGGCTACCTAAATTTCTTTTTTCCTTTTTTTGTGGTTTGTGCTTAAGACTACCTTGATTCCTTGAGGATTTGTTAAAGAATTCAAAGCACTTTTTTTTTGCTGGCCATTTTCATCAATTTTTTATTTTCTTAGGTCAACTTTGTCTCTACATTTTCCAATTTTGATACTTTTCCTACTTTCCTACCCCTAGGACTGACTTACATTAGATCATATTGTCTTACTCAAACAAATTCTATTCATAATATCACTTACTCAGTAGTTGCGTCTGTTTGTTTGCTGGGTTGTTTTTTTCAATTTCACGGACAATTTCCACCTCTACGTTCAGTGCGTATATTCAAATGCTTTGTATACTGTTTACATTATTAGTAATAAATGGCCGAATTTGTCAAATATAGGAAATATGATGTTTTGCATTTTGAAGTGTTTTAGCATATTAGCAGAAAGTACTCAAAATGTACTCATAAGTACTTTTTTTAAAAGTACTTGTACTCAAGTACATTTTACAGGAAAGTACTTTTACTGTACTTAAGTACATATTTTAGATTGTACTTAAATTTGTACTTAAGTACCTTTTTAAAAGTACTTTAACAGCTCTGGCCACATGACTCCATCACCATCAAAATTTTTTAAGATACAGTGGAATCCTGTTATAACGAGAGGGAGGGGACCGGTGCGAAATATCCATTATAGAAGGATTCTCGTTACAAGGGATCCAGTAATAAATTCAAGGGAAATAGTAAAGTCTAAAGTAGGCCTAATCTATGTTCTGTTTATTCCTTTTTGTATTTCCCCTGATGATGATTTGTTCAACATGATCTCTAGGTCTTACTTGATCAAAAATCGAATCAGGTTTCTTTCTCTAGTACTAGCAATGTTGACAAATCGGCTTTGGTGATCAGAAAGAAGGGGCTCTGGCTCTAGGCCAACTCGCCCGCTGGGTTGTCCCCCACCCCACCACACCCTGTGGTGCGTTGCGTCTGCTCGAGAACGTCACACATTCACTCCATCCATCACAGCATTGTGACTTCTCCATCCCGCACCAAAGAAGTGAGAGGCTCGGTATGCCTTGATAATCTAGACTGGGCTGGCCTATCACGCGATGCGTTCTGCTTGTCTGCGTATGCCACTCCCTCCCCACTCATTCGCTCCGGCCTTCATTGTTGGTTCTTGTAGGCTCTCCCATTCTTAATTTCGCTGGATCACTGACAACTTTCTCAACTGGCAAGGTTTTATAATATATGTAATTGGTCTGTGCGCTGTGCACAGCAGCAGCAATATTCCGTTAAAACCGACTTGCGTGACGGTCTGATTGCGCAATAGACAGTATTTTATTTACAAAGATAAAGAAGGAGAAAAAACGGTCTTTTAGAATAGTGTCTTTATAACAGACTTCTCATTGTTTCAGGACTCGTTATAAGTGGACTCCACTGTATAACATAATAGATCTAGAATCTAGACTAGATCTATGATACCCTGTTGTTTTGTTTGCATATTATATATACCCGGGGTGAGAATAGCGCAGGCGAGTCTTTTGGCTATTCTCACCCGGTGTGCGTTCACCGTTATAGCCTAGATCTAGGCCAACCAATTTTGCGTTTACCCTGAACCGCAGAATTCTATACTGTGATAACAGAAAATTTTTAGAATTCTGCGCCGTGACGGTGAACAAACGTTCCATTACTACTGTTGTTAGCCTAAAAAAAGTGTACAATTTTGTCTGTGGGCAGTGGAGAGGGAGAGAGAAAAAGAGAGAGAGAGAGAGAGGAGTAGCGCGAGAACTTCCGGGCAAAACAAAATGGCGACCCGCGTAGTTCGGCTCGATTCGAGAGGTCAAATAGCCGTAGCATCTTAGTAGACGACCAAATTAATTTACTTTTGTGTTTAAACATCATTTTTTAACTTTGTTTTGGTCAATTTGATCGTCCCCACCGATAGACAGTATTCAGAAAGAGAAAGAGAAGAGGGGAGGAGTAGATCTTGCGATAACTTCCGGGCAAAACAAAATGGTGACCCGCGTAGTTCAGCTCGATTCGAAAAGTGAAATAGCCATGCCATAGCATCTTTGTAGACGATCAAATTAGAGCTTACTTTTGTGCTATTACGTAATTTTTTCTTTGCTTATATCCATTTGATCGTCCACACCGATAGAAAGTATTCAGAAATTAGGAAAAACAGGTCTTATTTCACACCGGGTGAGAATAGCCAACGGTGGCAAGTCTCACCCGCGGTGAGAGGTCGATCGTATTTCTATTCTCACCCCGAGTGAGAATAGTCACTTTCATAAATAAATGTAGACTATGTATAATATATGTATATTAATGTCTGAACAGTTCTTAGAGATTTGATTTTGATATTTTTGAGGATAAAAGCATTTTAAAGTTTTTTAAGTGGAATAAATTTAAGGCTGTTGTTTTTCTCACCTAGGGTGAAAATAAAAATATAATTTTATTCTCACCCGGGGTGATATGTTATTCTCACCCAGTCTGAGAATGCAATGGATTTTTAGGCCTACCTGGGTGTTGAGAACGGATGATAAAATAATTTGTGAATTGTAAGAGGTTCGTGACCTGCCCCAGAGCGCTGGCCGATTTTTCTTGACTCCCGCGGGGATTGTTATTGTTTCATTTTTTAAAATCTTGAGTGGAGAGTATGCACACATATCTTCATCAAAACCCTTGACAAGTGTAAATATTATATTCTAAATTCAGAAAGGAATTCACTTGCCAGAGTAGTTTGTTTTTAAAAATTATAGCCTTAACTGAACGCTGTTTGATGAAATAATGTTAGATCTAGAATCTAGTAATAGTTTGTCATTGTAATGTTAGAATTGGCATTATTTTATTTACAACACAAAAAAAACATGTTTAATTGTTATCCCTAGCAGAACCCACGATTATTTTTAACCCTCATCCTGCAGGAGCCGGGTTTATATACAATGTCGCCCGATAAGCCTATAAGATAAGATACATCTTTATTGTCCATATCCTGGCACATTGGTTTCGCACGCACACACGTGCACACACATGCACACACAAGTAGGCTTACAATCACATGCATAATATAAATGAGCAACAATATAAACAATAATAATCGTAAGCTAGATATACACTCAATGTTATTTTGATGCATGATGCTCTAAGGTCGTAAATATACTTATACAAGATGGTTAAGATGGAAGCATTTTGATAGATGATGGTAAAAGTGACCTTCTGTATCTTTCTTTGTTACAGATCAGAAGCCTAGGTCTTTTACTTCTGACTGATGTTTTTATTTGAGGGAACAAGAAATGTTTGTTGTCTAAAATTGTTGTATATTTCGGCACCTCGCCCACGTTCTGGTCCCGAATCAGTGTAGCCCCTGGCTCAGCACACGCGCACTGCGCATCATCTTTTACGTGAAATTCGGGTCCCGAGTCGGATCCCCATTCATGCAGGTCAAGTGTGTGTGCGTCAGTCTGCTTGAGTTTGTGTGCGTTTGGGACCTTCTTCTAGAACCGCCTCCCTTGGTTCGTAATCGAGGCATACGTCTCATTCAAAGCATGCAAAGTTGGTAGCTCTAGATGTTCGTCCAATGAAATTATAGAAGAAATCGACCCACTTAGACATGAGGAGCTCAAAAGGATAGTCCGGAAACAACTTTTACAAGACTTCCATTTTTCTACAAAGTCTTTCAAATGAGCTTGATTTTGTATGAAATGATACTACCTGATAAAAAATAAGCTTGTTTGATAGT